GAAGTGGCTCTTCTGCATGTGTTTTTGGGTGCTGCTTGACAGCGGCGAGTGTGGGACAACCTCTGATCTGTATGGCCTGCCTGTGCAGGAAGCAATGGTGCTGCGCGCATCAGCACCTGGGCTGCCCAGGACAACCGTAGAATCGTAGTTCGGCAAAGCTGGTGAGCGATCGGGCGTGGCCTGAAGAAGTTGAAAGAAGCCGGAAGGATCTTGGCACCATCACCACGTGGTGACCATTACTGGCGTGCAACACCTCAAGCATTATGCGACTCGGCGGAAGTCAATCTGGCCGATGTTGTTAGTTTTCTGAGTGGCCTGTCACGCTAAGGACTGCCACGCCGGCTTGTCCAACTGGTATCACGGCTGGTCCCATGTCAAGAAATCCTGGTGCTGCGCGACTCCATCTCGCTTGAACCGAGAATGCATCCATCTGTAGTCCTGCAACACATACAGACGCATGTAGATCTCACACTGGTCAGTGGCGAGGGCACAGGGCACACCGATGATCGAGCACGACAGGACCACCATCAGCTGGGCTGCCCTGGCATGGCGCATGGCCAGTGGCACGCTCACACCGTCTGTGCCCTACACAGCATGTCTAGCGCTACCGCATGCCAATCCTGTCCTGAAGCTGCAACGAAGCTTGTGTAGACGCAACTGGCATGGGCCTTCTGCGTTTCCTACTGTACCTTGGCCGCATGATGCTGTGATGGATACCGAGGTGGTGCACACCATCATGGGCCACCATGCCGGCCATGGCGGATATGACTGCGATGCAGGCTACTCCAATTGGGAGCACGGCTGGTGGCAGCCCCGACAGTTCTGCGGTGCCTACTGACTTGCTTGTCTGTTCAAGTGAGGTCGTACCACAAGAAGACGTATTGCTGCGAGCACGAGCACAAGGGCTGCCAGCCGTACCACTGCCACCACCACGAGGACACGCTGCCTGCCTGGGCTGCTCGAGATGCTATGGGAGATGTCTCGGCCGGTCGTCAGGAGGAGCACGACACGTGGTCGGAGGACAAGCGCTGGGAGCCCAAGATTTGTGGGGTCAGGCGCGTAGAGAGAGTGCAGGGTTGCATGCTTGCTGCTTGCAGGCGACTATTGCTGCGGCCACTTCCAAATCGCCTGCGCTTCAACCACGCTGTCGCCTCTTGGGTGTGACGCCGCCTGGCCAAACTTTTTTAGTGCAAGAAGGATGTGATACCTATACAGTATGTTGCGTTCCAGCCCACTACAGGAAGTTGCTCTTCCTCGGTGAGCCAAGG